CGCCCCGTGCGGGCTATGGCCCGGGATTGCGGCTCCCCAGGGCTCCTGTGGCTCTTCCTCGAGAGCGGTGTGTGCCAGAGCTGTTGCTCTGGCCAGCAGCTCTGCACGTGTGGCATAAGCACTCGCGGTCTGTGTGCTTCTTTTTTCCTCTCTATTCTTTCTTTAGTGTATGAGCTCTCTTGTCTCCTCTGATGAAACAGAGGAAGGCACTTTATCCTGGAGGAGAGAAGCAGACAGTGGAACTGTGAACCTGCCTGTCGGTCAGTGCTGGGCCTCTGTGTTGCCCAAGTCGAGGCCAGCTGGCAAATAGGCCCGTAACAGCGGTCCAGCTAATGGTTCTTCCCAGCTCATGCGTGCTGGGGAAGAAAGGAGGAGGTGCCCTAAAACGGGCTAAGACATTAATGTTCAACACTGACATGTGCTGTGTTCACCAGTGATATTTCTGAAATACACTCGCCCCCTGGCTTGTCTGACACCCTTGGAAAGCATGCATATAGTGGTATGTCCTGGGAAAATCCTTTTGGAATTGAGTCCTGGGTAATGGTATATTGTTCTCTCGTGGCCTGTGGGAAGCAGCATCCTGACTTGGCTCTTCCCATGTGTTGGATTGGTACTTCTGGGAAGTGCTGTGCTCTTGAAGACTCATTTGTGGAAAATGATGCATTTTAAAATCTTGACTGCATTAATATTCAGTATGATGGCTCACTAAGTGCATGGTGTGTGAAAAAGATGCAGAGAAACCGTAATAAATGGAGATGGTAGGGACAATATTTGCATTATAATGTTATTTGCCTTTCATTGCAATTCAAATTTTACTTTTCTTTCCCGACTTCTTTTCTTTTTCAGCAGCGTGTCCTCCTGGGCCTGGGCGTTTCTGCTGCTCCTGAAGCTGTTCTGCCCGTGCCTGCCCCTTCGCTGCTGGCAGCGCAGCGCTTTGCTGGGCCCCAGGCAGGCCCTGCAGCCCTTCCCGGGGCCACTGTGTAAGGAGCATGGCAGACACCGGGGAGGGGAAAAAGGAGGAAGCTGATTATAAGAGACTTCACAGCTTTCCACTGATCAGGGTAAGGAGAGGGTAAGAATTTGGACTGCATGCTTAGCGGTGTTAAAATACAGACACGAAATACGAATTGCTCTTTCATTCCTACCAACCTTCCTGGCTGCAGTGCCTCCCACTGCGAGCTGCTGCGAGAATACAAGCCTGTGCTGGTAGGCATATGTGAGGATCCCAGGCATCACCCTGCTTCCTCCCAGCCCTTGACTTCTGCCAAGCCAATTTATCAGCACTACTGTTCCTCCTGTCAGCCACAAAAAGCCTTGGGCAAAGTAGCTCCTCTGTGATCCATCTTCTTCTGAACTGAACGTGCTGCCTTTGGAGACCTCCTCTGTGTTCAGGGTACCATGTGCAGCTTGTTTTTCTAGAGGAGCCGGGGGAAAAGATTTTGCTGGCATGTCAGATAGCAGAAGAGGAGAGAAAGGCTGTGTAATTTGGACTTCTTTGTTATGCTCATGGTAATAATTAAGGACAATGGTTGCAGCAGTGTTAACACTCATTCCTTATAACAGCAAACTAACAGATGTGTCCATCTCTTCCTCTAAGCTGCGCTTACTTGATACTAGTCTTGGTGTTATGTAGAGAGCAGTTCAACTGGGACAATGGAAGAAAGGACAAATGGCAAAGTAAAAATCCTTGCTCGGATTTGCCGCTCTCCGAAGCAGCGGAGCTGCTCGGTGCACTGGCAAGCCCGTGGCACCAGCGATGCTCTCACCTCTGAACTGACATAGGAAGTCACGCAGGCCGGTTTCCCTGTGCCCTCTGCCCATGGTTCCCAGTTGTGACACGGGTGATGTAAGGCTACATCAGGCTACATGCTGTTCTGTCTTGTCCTAACTTTTATTTTTGCTTAATCCCTTTTCCCTGTTTGCCCCTTCCAGCACACGGACATGCCAGAGGAGATGCGTGTGGAAGCCATGGAGCTGTGTGTCACGGCGTGTGAGAAATATGCCACCAACAACGAGGTACTGGCCCAGTCCCAGCTCGGCTGGCCTGCAGCCTCTGCAGCACCAGCTTGGGGGATCCTCAGGAGCAGAGTGAGGGTGTAGGGCAGGATGCAGCAGACACTGCTGTCCTATTACTCTCTATTACGCTATTGGAAGAAGGCAAGGATGGCTTGACTAGAGTCTCATTTGTTTCCCTTTGTCAGCAAGATCTGTCATAGCACGTTGCTATAGTACAGGGAGTGGAGGTTAGTCACTCAGCAGTGCTCTCCCACAAACTCTCTTCCCTTCTGGTCCTGCCTGACCTGTGATGTGCTTCTGTGATTTATAAAATGCCCTCTGTCCTGAGGGCTTGGTGCAGAAGTGCCTGAGAAGGGGCCCTTTGCAGAGCCTGGGGCCGTTCTTCAGTATTCAGTAGGGCTGTCTTCAACAGAGTAGGAAAGAAACTCTTATTTTTGGGGTGAGCAAATTAAGTCTTTGAGCTTTTAGGTACTGGCTGTCAAATCTTCTCTCTCAGCTTCCAGCCAATTGAATGAAATTCCTGAGACTATATAAACGGGACACGGTAGAGAAGTTACAATATTTTGAAAGATTACCTGTAATTCTGAGAACAAAAGATAAGGGAACTCACACAACTTGCTCCTTGGGCAAGGCACAGCCTACATGCTACCAGCAGAGTTTTCTGCTGGAACAAGGCAAAACCACAAAGTTATTAATTCCTCTGTCCCTTCCTGTCTGAGACACCATAATATGTCACTGCCAAATCTTCCTCTTTCCTTTTCTGGCTCGGGCAGGGCACAATCTGGGAGAAGCAGGCCTTTTAAAAGCCAGCCTAGTTTCAGTGTTTTGGTGACTAGCTGAAAGAAAAAAAAAAAGTGTTCCTGTAAAAATAGCTGCAGCTTAGTGGCCTGGATCTCCTCACACCCATCTTGCTGCACCCACCGTAGCTCCATCACCATCAAAGAGAGAACTCTTGCTTCAAATTGGTGTGAATGAGAAGTGATTACTACATCTCGAGCTTTAATTTCTCTTGCTCGCTGTTTGGAGGCTGCTGAAAACCCAGTAGCCTGTTTTGCCCTTCAGTGTAGCCCTAGGGGGTTTTCAGCTCCTGCAGCGCAGCTGCCATACCTATTGCCTGGCAAATCAGTAGCCCAGTAAAGGGAGAACAGTTGGGGTTTTTTTTTTGCCTAAAAGCACACTGCTTGCTCTGCCTCATCCTACGCTCTCCTTATTATTATTCTTCAGAGTGCTGCCAAGATGATCAAAGAGATGATGGACAAGAAATTTGGGTCCTCCTGGCATGTGGTGATTGGGGAAGGTTTTGGCTTTGAGATCACTCACGAGGTGAAGAATCTGCTCTACATGTTCTTTGGTGGCAGCCTGGCCGTGTGTGTCTGGAAGTGCTCATGACAGCTGGCTGGGCCCCAGACTCGCTGCCCACAAGTTCTTCCTTCTCTTCACAGGTTTTGTACAATCTGGAGGTGGGACTTTATTTTTAATAGTCGAACTTTGAGATTTTTTTTTCATACTGATGTACCAGTCATATGGGATACAGTTTTTTGGCAAGCGCGTGTGTGTGTTGGTGCGTGTGTGCTCAGCTCTCCCCTCCCTACCCAGGGAATGTCTCCTCTGCCTGGGGCTCTTTCCTTCGTGGCTGAGTGTGAACAGGGAGGAGGTGGTGAACAGGTAGCCCATGAGGCACGGCAGAGCCACGCAGCAGCACTAGGAGGGGGAGGCAAGCGACAAGGTGCTCCCAGCCCCGTGCTTGTCCTCCCACTTCTTCCAGGCGCGCTCTCTCTTCCCTGCCTTCCCCTCTACTGCACGGCATGGCTCTGGCCAGTGCCTGCCTCTCCTCTGCCTGCCAACAGTAAGGGCATTTTGTCTTCTCTGCCGTGACCGTGGAGAGCTGGCGGTGTCAGGAGCCTCCCTGTGGGCTGTCCGTGGCGGTGTCGGCTCCGCGAGCCCCTCCGCAGCGCTCCGGGGAGGCGCGACAGCTGAGCCGCCTGGGCGAGCAGGGTGCTGTGCAAACGGCCCCCTCGTTTCTCACCCGCCGCGTGCCAAGGCAGCGCTCAAACACAGGCAGCTGGTGATGTCTGGGGAGTGGGTGAGAGCGCTTCATAAGGCTTGATTGCCTGACAGCTTTTGGGGGTGTCGTGTGAGATAGCACTTGGTCATCAGAGGCTTTATGTCTTTTTGCGTTCCTTTAGCCTGATTGATTTTTTAAAAACCTGTCAGTGTTGGAGGATGGAGTGAACGTAATTGTATTTTACGTATATGACATATTTATATAAATCTGGGGAACTGTGGTTTTTGCAATAAAAAATAGTAAAATGCCCTTTTTGTGTTCGTCATTCTAAAATGAAATGAAGCAGAGGGCACAGAGAAAAAGGGAGAAGGCAGTTTGTACAGGGAGCACTGGAATGAGTCAGCAATGGCTGTGGCTCAGGGCAGCGACAAGCGCTCACCCCACGTGCTGCTTCCCGGGCAGCTCTGGGAAACAGGAGGCGCTTCCGTGCTCCCCGTGCAGCTCCTTTCAGCAGCCAAACCATGATGTCCAGGGCAGTTTCCAGGTCAGCAGCACTGCTCACCGAGGTCCTCTGCCCACGCATCCCTTGGAGTGGTGGCAGGGGAGGGAGGATGCACTAACTGGAACCAGCGTATCTGTCTGTGCTGCCGGCATCACTGTGTGTTGCTCACAAATTCTGTGAGCTCTTTTTTCCCTGTAGTTCTTGATGATTCCTCTGTTGAGTCACTCGAACCGGCTGCCCTTAATGTGAAGGTAGCACTGTTGACTAGCACTTTCTGCAGCTGGCAGGGGGAGATACCAGTTTTCTATACTAACTCTTGCCATCTCCTCTGTGTTTTATACTGCCAGGTCCAGAGGGGTAGGTAGAGCCAGTGTCTCCGAGATGCCCTGCACTGGAGCACGATGATGTTCTTCAGCAATCCCACAGCCTGTTTGATCACACTTCTTGCACACTAATGAATAATTAACTGCCGTGTGCAGGTGCCCAGGCTTGCTGGTCACAGGCATCTCTGCAGGGTCATGCTGACCCACAGGTGATGGTGGGGAGGGAGCCGCTTACCTCAACGTGCAATCTCTTGGCCCCGCTGCCAGCCCGTTATCTGTTTGGCTGCCAGCTGAGCAAAACTAATGTCTTTGTGACCTGCATCTGCCATGGGCAAATGTTGGCTGGGACTGAGCTTTGTCAAAGTACGCACACACTACACATTCACACCTCCACTTGTTTGCAAGGCAGCTCTTCCACTGGAACTCCTCGAAGGTAGGGGCAAAGTGCCCTATAGGAGCACGGTGGGCTGTTTCTATTCCCAGGGGCAATAGCTTTCTCACAAAGTGTTACCACAGAAGAGCCAGCCCGTCTTACCTGGTTTGCACGCCCGTCCTGCCCTGTCATTTGTGCTAAATGGTGAAGCGTAAACCTCCATTTCCTCAAATTCAGCTCTGCCAGTGAGGGCCCCCCAGGCTGGGCAAGCTGAGGGTGGCGCTACTGCCCCTGGCATGTTGCCTCCGGCTGCGCCGGTCTCCGTTTATTAGAGAGTGACTCTCACCCTTTTGTGGTGGAACTTGCAGACTTCAAGGCACGTCTGCAGTTCACAGTGCAATGCTCTGCTCGGGTCGGGGCAGCACCTGGTCTTGCCATGCTTTCCTGCAAGTGTCCCTCCGCAGTTGACGCTGTGTGAAACTGCCAAGAGTGCAGCCTGTCCCGCAGCTTGCGAGAGGCTTTCACCTTGAGCGTTGTCCGCAGAAAGCTAAGGGAGTTGGGAGCAGGTGTCCTGCTTCTTATATTTTTTCCCCTTATTTCTACACGTTATTTTTATGCCACCTGTGTCTTGCTGCCATTACTCATCAAAGCACCAGACTGGTCAGATGTGGAAAAGGAGTCAGCGATGGAGATGTCCTTAGAACTGTGCTTCCTTCCTGCATCCCAAAGGTGACTCCAACTGTCATGGAAGGAGGGAAGGAGCTGGAAAGCCAGAGGAAGCTGGGGAGAAAGGTGAAAATCCAAGCGTTTCTCTGCGACGAAGCCATGGCAGCAAGGGCTGGCTTTGAAGCTCCCTACCACCTTCCTGTTGCTGCCGGCCCGCATCCGACTCACTGAAATATCTCGTGGTTAATATTTAATACTGGCATTGAAGTGATGAAGGTGGCACCTATTCCCTCTTCCTCTGCTTTCCCCCATGATGCTAAATCAGTGCTGGGGGGATTATAAAACCCCTGTGCTTGGGGATGGGACCCCTGTCAGAAGGGTGGCCTCAACCCATGCAGTGCAGATAAGACTGGGGGCTCGAGAGAACTTCCTATCCCCTTCGCTTTGGAGCCAGTGCTGGGGTTCTGGAAGGAAGGAGGTCTCCCTCTCCCCTGCTCTTTCCCCGAGCTGGCTCCAGAATAAAGGAATCTGTGGCCCTGCTCCCAGGGCTGAGCCCAGCTCCTTCCATGCAAGTGGCTTGCGCATGTTTTCACTGAGCAATGACCTAACAGCTCTGCGTTCCAGCCACAACCCCTCCGAGGCCCCGTCTTTCCGAAAAGTGCATCCGGACTGAATCCAGTCAGCCTCCCTGTGGAAGACGCTGTGTTCCCTTCCCCGTGGAAGCCATCTGCTCCCATCGGCTCCGTCTGCAGGGCTGGAAAGCTCTCCTCCTCCAGGCAGCTCCCGCAGTTGGGGAGGGATGCGTTTACCTCGGAGGAGCAGGGGGACGGGTCGGCTTTGGTGACTATCAGCCGCGTTGCCAGCGCAACACACGGGGAAGGAAATAACGGCACCGGCTGAACGTGGGGCGGCCGGTGGTGTCAGCTGGAGGCGGTTGCCAGGCAACTGCCGCACGGTTGGACACGGCGAGCCGGGAACGTGGCGTTCCCACCATCCGGCGCCGCGTGCGCCGTGGGAGGGGGCCCGGCGCGGGGAGCGCGCGGCCGCAGCAGGAGCAGGCCGCAAGGAGGGGGTCTCCTGCACACCCTCGCCTGCCGCCCCGTCCTCCTGCCTCTTCCCTGCTTGCCTCCCGATGTGCCCTATGGATTGCAGGATTTCACATCCCTCCTGCATCCCCTGCTCCCAGAGAAACTGAAAAGAGAAAAGTGTTCCCTCCAACTTGGTATCCGAGGTCCCCCAGGCCTGGCCGAGTCCAGCGCTTGTTGCACTGACCTTCACCCCTTAGCAAATCTGAAGCTTCGTTCCTTGTCACCTACTATATTTGCTTGGGCCACCCAGCTCTCCAGACTCCTGTATCTCAATGGAAAGGCATTTTTCTTCTAAAAATGAGCTAACCTTCCCTCCCGAAACCTGCCGGTTCTCCCCAGCAACCCTATTTGAGGTGCAGGTATGGCTCTGCTTGCTTTCCTGCTCCTGATTCCTGCTTGTCCCACTCCTAACCATGGAAAACTCAGTAGCGATTACGTGGCAGCTGGGGATGAATGCTTCACACCAGCTTTCCGGGGCCTGTGTCCAGCCCTGCAGCACTGCCTTGGTGCCTGCAGCATTGGGTCTCGCTCCACGGTCTGAGTGGCACTGGAAAGGAGGCCGCGAACAAGCAACCTCGCCCAGCTGGAGCGGGTGGCAGCACCAGCTGAGTGGTGGGAGCAAAAGTCTCTCCTGGGCTATGACTGAGCACACGGAAACGTGGTGGAGATGAGCGCAGCATGGGGTGCCAGGGGGTCCGGCACACAGGATAGCTGTGGCCATCCCTGTCACCGAGCCACCCGCTACTATTGATTTGGAACTTGCCCCGTTCACTCTAACCTTGGCACCGCCAGCCTGTCCCTTATCTGCACCGATAAACCCCATTGCAACCTCCTGTCCTGCTGCCAGCCCAGCAGTGTCGCTCCAAAAGGCACCGTGGAGACAAGTTTTTTTCTTCCTGCAATTTTGCCTGCCGGACCTTTTGCTTCGGTCAAGATTTGTCGCTATAGTCTAAACCCAGGACACCTCTTTTCTCTTTTTGCTTGGAGCAGAGACGAGGCTGCACGTGTACTGGCTCTCCTTTAGCCCCTCGTCGGTGCCTGGCCCTTGCTGGGTGTCTCAGGAAAGGAAGGATGCGGCGCCAGCTACAGACACTTTTCCAGAGGAAGTTTAAAATTGGTCTCTTCTTTCTCCTGCTCTTGGCCTTCCTGATACACCTGGTAATGGACTTGGCTCTCCCTTCCACTCGCAGGCCCTGCAGCTGTGATCAAAACCCAGCAAAAGCCGTGGGTGTCCCAGCAGGCAGCCGGCTGGTGGCTGGCCCCAAAAAGCTGAGCCTGCGGATCCTTCAGGATTTCAGTGGCAGCAACGGCTCCTTGGAGAAGAGCTCTCATGCACAGGGAGCAGGGCCTCAAGCCAAGGATGGAGACTGGGAGATCCACCGCCAGCGCGGAGATGTGAATCTTGTGGGGACCAAGGGCTCAAAACTGGCTGCTCTCTTCGAGCATCCTCTTTATAAGGTCCCGATTCCAGAGGTCACAGACGGAGACAAGCTGTTTGTTGTCAACCCCACGGAGAAGTTCAGCCTGAGAAGCAGTGCGAGTGATGAATGGTGAGGAACTAGCCAACCCCTTGTATTCTTCCTGGGATATGTGACAGGACATGGGGGGACAAATGCCAGGGATCAAGCAAGCCATTTACTTACATAGCTCAGCATCCCATCCTGGACTGACTCTAATAGTTGACTGATCTGTTCTTGTGCCCCAAGTCCTATTTTAGCCCTGAATTTCCAGACTGCTATCTTGGAAAGCTGCAGAGGAGCCCATTTGTCCATATAGCACAAGACAAAGTCAAATGACAGGCTTGAATTATTCATTATATTATGTATGGTGTCTTTCAGGCCATCTCCTCCTCTCCTCTCCTCTCCTACCAAATACAAAGGCTATATTTAATCACCCTCTGCATGGGAAATTCTTCTCCAGATTTCTAACCAGTTTTATAACCCTCTTTCCTAACCATCTCACATTGGATACGCAACCCCCCAAATGTAGGTTACCACTAATCAGGAGATAGTTTGTGTCCTGCATTTCACAGGACACTTCCTGACCTCTTTAGGCTTTGCCGTATGGTGATCTCACTGCTACTGGGTGCCTATTTTTATCACTGTACTACTAACCTCTAATAAGAAGGGAAGACATTATAAGAGTTATTGTTGATAATGAGTAGCAGCTTCCTTATGGAAAGTGCACCTTCAAAACATGGTAGATTCTAGAAATGAGAGAGATTAAAACAACATCAGAGTCACTTCCTACAAACAGACATTTGCTCTGTCTCAGAGGACCACCTTGCCTGAAAATTCTTGTGGGAGCTGAGTCTGTTTTGCTGAAATTGGGGCATAATTTGCATTCTCTCAGAGACAGATGAGGTTGGAGTTACACATGCCCTGGGCTGGCCTGCGTGTTTGCAATGCCACGGGCACAGAGGAAGCTGCACTCCCTGTTGCAGCTTCTGGGAAGTCCCTCTGACTGCAAGGAAAAATGCAAATATGCAGGAGGCACTGGGAAGGAGACAGCAACAACTTGAACTCATGTCCACAGAGAAACCAGGGCTGTCTAGTATTTGATAAATCCATCAAAGGTGAACTGGATGTTGAGGGTCTGAGCTCTGGTTGATGTGGAGAAATGGGTAGCACCCTCCCGCCTTTCTAATGCTGTTTTATGAATGTCCGTTCCTGTCAAGCAAGTGTGCACTCCAGGGTGCCAACCCCTTGGGGAAGTGTGACTAGACGAGCTGCCCTGCTAGGGAAAGCAGGGGAGCAGCCTGCAGCCTTCCTAGAGGGAATGTGCGGGAAGTCTTGGTGGCAGTTGCCCGCCCCTGTCCCACGGTGCCTCTCCAGGTGGCTGGCAGAGCTCCAGAGCCACGGATGGGGTCTGCCCAGAGCACCATTTGCCACCGGGAGCACCTCAGAGAAGCCAGGGTTCAGGGCTGGTGGCTTTCGCCATGGTTGAGGGCTGGTGCTGAGTTTCTCCAGTCCTTTCTTTGCCCTTCTTGGGAAGGGGCTGGATCCCTGGGAAGGACCTGAGGATGCTGGGCGCATCCTATCACGACTAAAATCTGTCATTGTTGTTGGGGGTGGTGGTGGCTATTGGGCTGCAGGGTCAGCAACAGTAAAGCCGAGATGGTCCTTCCGACAGGGAAGACGGCCTACGACACCTATCCCTCCTGGCTCAAATTCCATGTCGGCATCAACCGCTATGAGCTGTATCCTCGCCAGGACCCGCTGATGCCTGCTCTCCTCAAGGACCTGGCCACCCTGAAGATCGTCAGTTCGGGTATTGCTGCCCATCCCATGCTGCCCTCTGCTTTGCTCCCCTCCGTGCTGCCCACTCATCTACCTCCCTTTCCTTCCTGATCCCTGTGTCCCCCTTTTCAGTCCAGAAGTCTGGTGGGACGCAGCTCAAGCTCATCATGACATTCCCGAATTATGGGCAGGCCCTCTTCAAGCCCATGAAGTGAGTAAAGCCAAACCTGGAATGGTGGGACCGGGCCAGGGAAAACCTCCAGATCCAACTGTGTACCCTCTCCCCTGGATATCCCTCTGAAATTCCTTGTTATTTGATGAGGGGCAGCAGAAAGAGCCCACAGAGAGGAAGCGGGGAGCAGGGAAGCCCTCATCACTTTGTGGTCTGCCTTGCTGCAGCCCCCCAAATCGGGGCAGGCAGGATCCTGCCTTCCCTCGGAGCTCTTGAGGCAGCCTGGGCGCTGCTTGCGGTGGGGTAGTGACCTCCAGTGGTGGAAAGAAGAAGGCGATTCGTGAAGACCCTTCCCTGCCCGGAGCCAGGCCGCGCTCTGCGGGACTGCAGGGCTCTCAGGACGCAGGGTTGGGGGCTCTGCACCTCCCCGTTCCTCCCTGCACATCGGGCGTGCAAGGGCCACAGGGCTGAGCCTGCAGCGGGCTCTGCCTTCAGCACACACAGGGATGAGGCCACGGGGCCACCGAGCAGGAGGAGACTGGGTTTGGTCGGGTTTGGGTTGGGGCATTCTGCCTAGCAGGGCACATTTGGAAGGAGCCGAGCTTGGCTGCATCGCTGGCGACACAGCACAAGGGTGGTTTGGGGGCAAAGCCAAGCTGGGAGCAGGCCCAGAGGTCTGGACTGAGCAGGGGATGACCCAGCTCTTGGCCATTGCTCCTCACCCTCCCCTCCACTTTCAGGCAGACCCGGGACCAGGAGACCCCCGTTGACTTCTTCTACTTCTCGGACTTTGAGCGGCACAATGCAGAGATTGCAGCATTTCACCTGGACAGGTGGGTCCCAGGCAGGGGTCAATGGGTGCAATGTGAGGCACTGTTCATGTGGGGATGAGCCTGGGGTCAGCTCTTCTCCGCTCCTGATCTGAAACACAGTGGTCCCCATTATTCCTCATGAGAGAGAGTTTGTTTGTCCCTACTACACTGAACTTCACAGAAGTTTTGGAGTGACTGTACTAGATCTGGTCAGAAAGCTGGCCCCCAGTCAAAGCCGACTAGTCCAAATTGCCTCTCTCTAATGAATGCAATTTCACCAGAGGCTGTAGCCTCCTGGGAAGGATGCAAACATGCATCTAATTTTGCTATCCATGTCAGCAAAGTACCAGAGAAGCTCCCTCTGGACTACACTTCTTCCTCACCATATTGTCAGTTGTATTTCCCAGTGTTCTTAGCACTAGGTGTGAAAAACAGACTCCGCCTTCAAGAAATTGTTCTAAGCTCTGCATTTTGGTGTGTCTTTTGTGTGGCTTGCTTTACTCAAAGGATTCTGGATTTCCGGAGAATCCCACCGGTTTCTGGCCGTTTGGTGAATATAACACAGGAGATTCGTGACATCACGACCGACAAGAAACTGGCCAAGACTTTCTTCATCTCCCCAGGTGAACTGGGAATGCCCCCAGAGTTCACGTCCCGCCTGCTCCTATCCTCCTCCATGCTGCCCATGTTTAATTACCCATGCAGGGCACATCCAGAGCCAGACACTTCCAACTTGCTTTTTGTGGTCATCTGGCAAACTGTCCCTTTGGCAACTGCATCTTGGCAGCTGTCACCTGCCAAGGGCTCCAGCTCCCACAAAGTCCCCTGCTGCCTCCTCCTTGAGGCTGTTTTCACAGCTACTTTACCCAGTGCATGTAGCCTGGTGGCTCCAGGGTGTCTCCCTAACCAAAGGTTTTGGGTGCCCCAGCACAAATAGCATCCTCACTTGGCTATCACCATTCCTACAGCAAAAGGCCTCCTTGACCTGCCAGCACAACGGCAGCAGACTCACACTCCTTCTAGCCCTCTCCTCCCCTCTTGCACGTCCTGAGGTTGCCAAGAAGAGTGGCACAAAACAACTGCTCCTTGGCAACCTTTGCTCTTCCCCACGCCCCATCTCCTCCTTGCAGCTGGCAATGTCTGCTTCTACGGCGAGTGCTCCTACTACTGCTCCACGGAGCACGCTTTGTGCGGCAAGCCGGACCAGCTGGAGGGCTCCATGGCAGCCTTGCTGCCAGACAAGGCCCTGGCCAAACGCCGCTCGTGGCGCAGCCCCTGGAGACGCTCCTACCATAAGAGCAAGAAGGCCGAGTGAGTGGCTCTGCAACGGGAGCGCGCTGGGGGTGGCCGCGGGGGCAGCCACCAGGCAGGGTGGGCAGGGAGGAGGTTGGGAGGTGGGCACATGATGCTGGTGTAAGAGCAGGGGAGGCTGGTTAGCTCGGTGTGCTGCTTGCTCTGGATGCTCCTCCTGCACCTGGGGAGAGGTGGGTGCTGGAGAGGGGTGCCAGGGAGCATTGCCCCTGTCTGGGGGGAGAGGGGGCTGCCCCGGTCTCCTTATGGCTGTCTTGGCCTCTGCTCACAGGTGGGAGCTGAACCCCAACTACTGTGCTCAGGTGAAGGAGACCCCTCCATACAACAGTGGCCATCGCCTTCTTGACCTTATTGATATGACCGTGCTTGACTTTCTTATGGGTGAGTCCTGGTGTCCCGCTTTCCCTGGCTTGGCTCTCAGTGCTGTCTTTGCCATGTCAGTGCTTGGGAACCCTGAGACCAATAGGCTCAGATCACCTAGTCTAGAGATCATCTAGTCCAACGCACCTGCTCAAGCAGGGTCACTTAGAGCACCCCGTCCAGACGGCTTTTGAACATCTCCAAGGATGGAGACTCCACATCAACAAACTCTCTGGGAAACCTGTTCCAGTTCTCAGTCACCCTCACAGTGAAAGAAAAGGTTTTCATATGTTCAGGTAGAATTTCCTGCGTTTCTGCCTGTGCCCTTTGCCTTTGATCCTATCATTGACCACCACCAAGAAGTGTTTGGCTCCATCCTCTTTACACCCTCCCTTCAGATACTTATACACATTGATACGATCCCCCCTCAGTCTTCTACAGATTTAACAGTCCCAGCTCTCTCAGCCTTTTCTCATACAAGAGAGTATGCCCCAGTCCATTAATCATCTTCATAGCCCTTCACTGGACTTGCTCCAGTAGCTCCATGTTTCTTAGGTTCACTCCTGTTGGCCAAACCATCGCTCAGTTGCATGTTGCTGGACAGATCCCTAACAAACATTGCAGGCATGTGAAATGCCTCAAGCTCCCAGACACAGACCCCTGGGAGACCAGGCATTGCTAGTCCTGATGCTCCCTGAGCATCTGATGAAGCTCTCTGCCATGCCCAAGCACTGGGGCTGATCCTCCCTGCAGGCTCTGTGCAGCTTCGCAGTGCTAGGCCTGAGGAAGTATCACAGTGACAAAAGGATTTTTGGGCCTGGTAAACACTGTTTTTTACATCCCGTTCTCATCCCTCACCTCTTCTGCTTCTTAACCTGCTGTCTGGCCATGGCACTGGCCCGCACGCTGCCCCCACGCCATCCACAGAGCCCTGTGCCCGTGGGGGCCTGCGCGGCCTGGCACCGTTGCTGCTCATCCGCTCTCTGCTGACTGAGCTTTTCCGCCTGGTTATGTAACTTGGAAGGTTTCCCTTCTTATCTTTCGTCAGCGATGCAAGCAACGCGGCCGATTGCTGCTGGTGCCTTTGCCATTACTTCTGCTCCATTTATGGCAATTGTCTTTTAATGGCTTTTGCACCGCCAAGGCTGATGCAGTGAGAATGGCTGGAGGCCTTCACGGGTCTGCTCCGAGTCCCCCATGCAGCCAGACCAACAAACGCGCACCCTGGATGTGTCCTCAATGCTCTTTCCTCGCCTTGATTTTCATTCTGTCACCCATTGGCCCTTATTTTTGCCCAGATTGCTGTCTTACAGCCTATCTAGCGCCAAAGCCTGGGGACGCTTCAGGGAGATGGCAGCAATGCAAGTAAATGTGTATTTCTGTCTCACTGTCCCCGGGAGCCCCCAGCACGTTCTCTCCCTTGATCGCCCCGCTACAAGCTACCCCTCCTTCCCCATGCAGCTCTTTGGCCCTGGAGTTGAGGCTTCTTCCCTGAAGCAGATGGCTGAGTGTTGATTCTCCAGCTCCCAAGGGCTAGGCAGCAGATGATGGATGCCTCTCTAACATGCTTTCCCTGTGAGAAGGCAGAAAACATGGGCAAGGTTTCTAGAGAGATCAGTGTTTGGCGTGCCCCTTTGGGGACACCCTAAATGCTGGGACAAGGACCCAGCACTTGTTCCCTGAGGAGCCACAGCACAATCTGTTGCCACAACACTTGCAACTCTCAGCCTGTCTTGCACTAGCAACTCCTTTTCTTTCACAGCTACGCTTTCCCCCATCCTCGTCTGGGGCAGCAGAATGAGGGAGGTGACACCCTCGTTGTCACCCCCTTTCATGGCTTGGTGTGGCCCATGCACAGGCCATGCAGCAGGGGCAGCTGCGCTGCTGCCAGTCCCAACACCACATCTGTGGCTAAGAGCATGGAGGGCTGGGCAAGGTGACATGTGCAGGGGGGTTTTAGGCCTTCACTCTGCAGCCCAGGAAGGCCATGTTCTCTTTGCATTTTCTACCTACATTGGGTTCTCCAGGGGCCAGCAGAACTGGAGGCAAACTTTCCTAGCAAGTATGCAAATCTGTTCCCAATGAGCCCTCAGGAGCTGCAGCCATCCTGTCAAATGTCCTTTCTCCAGAAGAAAACATTTTTAAATGCCATCGTTGCTTTAATTAGACTGTCATTTGAAATGTCTTGAGGAAACTTCTTATGAGGGCCTCAGCATCAAGTCCTCCTTACATCTTTTCTCTAACCTTCGCTGTAACCCTTGAGACAATTAAGCAAATGACCAAGCATCCCACCATCGCCAGATGTGAGTTATGTTTCTGTGCATGGCCAGGCACTGGGGCTCGTCCCCGTCTGATTGCAACATTTGCCTCAGCCTCATGCACTGGGTAGATTCAGGCCCTTCAGCTCATTTACTGCTAAACTGCAGCTTTTCCAGATCCAGACAACAAGCAATTGCCTACTCAGAACTGTTGAGCAGGTGCAAGCTCCAGGGTGGTCATTGTTATGTCAGGAAAAAGAATGGACCTTAATGACAGCTTAATTGCCTTCTCTTTGGGCAGGTTTATAGGGCAGGTGTGTGCTGCAGCACACCATGTCCATCAGGCATGTGGAGCAGCCACAGTCTGACACGGCTCAGCTGCAGAGCCTCCCCACATAGACATTTTTCCCGCACAGACAAAAAACTGCTTTAAAAGTCCTGCTTCCTTTGGTGCCACTGAGGAGCAGTGGGGACACACAACTGGACCTGCTCTCATGGCACAGGGCTTGAACACAGCCAGCGGCTAAAACACCTGAATCCTGATGCTGTTTTTCACAGCCCAGGTGGACTCGGGTTCCCTCTTTCTGCATCCTGCATGAACATCGGATGACAGATTTGGGACTAGAGCAGTAGTAGGAGAGCTGGAGACATTTTCAGATGGGTTGAAATTGCTCTGCTCTAACATGCATGCCAGTGACCCACAGATGATACTGAAAAGAGCTATGTAGCACGTGCAGGGAATCAGAGTGATCAACATTTTCTCTACCGCCTACAAAAACAGGCAACCTGCTCATGCTGAATGGGTTAACGGGTTTGTCGCTCTGGGTAGCTCGTTGTTGGCAGATGTTTTTAGAGCTGAGGATGTTCCCAGACAAATCAGTCTTGCTTCAACAGCATTTTAGTGTTTCAAGGGCCTCCGGCTGAGCAGCAGGATGTCAGCGTGATAAGCCGAGCTGCGGGTGTCTCATGCAGTAGAGATGACAACTCCATTAGATGGCACAGAACTGTGGCTGCTAAGAGCATCAGAGGAGGGAGGGGCTACCTTTTTGCACCCCCAGAAATGGTGCCGTTGGTGTCTGCCAGGACAAACAGGTCCCCAACAAGGCAGGAGGTGCATGATCCTGCAGCAGGATGAGGACATGCATGGTTGGAGATGGACAAGGCTGCTCTCGTTCCTGCCTCCTTCTTGGAGCTTGGGGGTGCTCTCGTGTGCCTTCGCCGGTGCATCTGGCCCCTCTGACTTTGCCCTCTCCCTATCCCCGCCTCCTCATCCCGCTGCAGGCAATATGGACCGGCACCACTATGAGACCTTTGAGAAATTTGGCAACGACACTTTCCTGCTTCACCTGGACAACGGCCGAGGGTAAAGCCAGAGGGCCCCACGCGAACCTGGCGGGGAGGATAAAGCTGGGGCAGGGGGGCTGCTGTGGGTCTCATGGGGCCACGCAGGATGACGCTGCCCTGTCAGGTCCCTGCAGAACCCTACTGCCCGCGGGCGCATTTCTCTCCGCAGCTTTGGCACCCATTCGCATGACGAGATGTCCATCCTGGCGCCGCTCCAGCAGTGCTGCAGGTAAGAGGCTCCCGGGCTGCGCCCCGCGCTCAGGCCAGGCCTGCAGCGGGAAAGGCTGCCCCTGGGCCCGGCTGAGGCGCCTCTCCTCCTCGCCTCTGCCAGGATAAAGAAGTCGACCTACCTGCGCCTGCGGCT